CCCGCGCCAAAAGCTTGGTCTCTGCTCTGCTCTTAAGCAGGCAGCCTATTTCTAACTGAGCGGCTCTCTCGTGGGTCGCTAAAAGTTTGGCCCTTGCTCTACTCTCACGTAGGCAACCTATCTCCAATTGAGCAGCTCTTCCGTGGGTCGCCAAAAGTCTGGCATCTACTTTGCTCTCAAGCAAGCAACTTATACCTCAAGCTTAAGAATTCTCTCATGGGTTGCCAAAAGTTCTATTTCAAAAGGTGTAGCTCTCTCATGAGCAATCATCAAACTCTGTCTTTACTCTCGCGCAAGTAGTCTACCTTTCTCTCCAGGTAATTTTGTCATCTCTAGCCAGGCTCTTGAAACTTAGCTCGTCTACAAGCCGAGGGACTACATTACATTGAATGTCAACAATCAGACCTCATTCCTCATTCTTTTGTGTCCATTTGGTACCGCTACCTCGTTGCCATAGCACCCCGAGCTTAACACCTAGCGCAAACAAGCTTTACTTGCGCTTGCCTCCAAACAGCGCACCTCCCTCGCGATCAACAAAATCGTCAGCCAACGGCGCCCAGTACCATGGGCTCCTCTCTAATGGCTCCCATCACCATATGGTGCCCAACACCATGGGCGCCTCTCCAACAGCACCCAATGAACTTCCATTTGACAAGACTACCAAGGCACCCAGCCTGCTCGCCTGAGACTGCCGAGGCACACAGCTTGCTCTCCCAATATGGATCGTCGTAGCAGCCCCGCTCACCTGGCCTGTTTGTCTCTCCACAGTGCGTCCCCTAATTCGTCCAACTTGCACACTAGCGGCACCCGAGACAAGCCCATACACTTGCGTGCCTCCCTCGTCTGGCTGGCTCGCCTAATTGGGGTCACCACAGCTTGGGCGCCCAATCCCTTTCTCGCTTGGCTTGCTTGCCAAAATTGGGGTCACCCCAGCCTAGGTGCCCAACGCCTCCTCCTCACGCACTGCAGCGCGCCTAGCAGCGGGAGCCTCCTTTCTCCCCACTTCTTTGCCTATAGGCTGTTTCAGAATGGACGCCCATGGCACCTCCACACCGGCGCCCAACACCTCCCCCTCCTCTTTAGGCTCTCCACCAAGATCCATATGCTCCTCTCCATTCGACATTGTTCAAAGCTTTCAACTCAAGAGCCTCACCTATGTGTTCTTGGAGGATTTCAAGAAGAGCTCTCCTTCTCACTCAAGATTGTATGGAATGAGGCTCTTCAAAAAAAACAAAATGAAAGAGGAAGTTTTCATATCTAATGGAGTCCCACAGGTAAAATGAGTCTACTAGAAGGGAGGGAGTCGACAATCAAAATGAGTCTTCAAAAAATTCGGATTTAAAAAGGGCTGCATGCTATTTTGACCGTAGCTTTTGGTCCAAAACTCCAAATGGGGCTTATTATATATCAAATCGAAGCTTTCGACAAGCCTTACAAAACTCATTGCTTATAACAGTGAATAACGCTGTAAAAAGTCCAAAAAAAGGCTCAAAAACAGTTGTTTTGGCTTCCCGAAAAAAAAAAAATTTTAGCTGCTTGCCAAGGACGCTGCCAACATGCTCAAGACCCTGCCTGCTCACCCAAAAGCTGTCTGGTCGCCCAAAATCGAGCGCCCAGCCCCCTGCATGCTATTTTGACTGTAACTCTTGATCTAAAACTCAAAATAGTACTTATTATATATCAAATCGAAGTTCTTGATGAGCTGAGCAAAACTCATTACTTTAGTAATGAGCTTTTCAGGAAAAGTCCAAAAAAGGCCTAGAAAGAGGTGTTTTGGCCTCTCAAAGTTTTTTTTTTAAAAAAAATTATGCTTGCCTAGAACAGTGCCCTGCTTGCCCGAAAAGCTATCTGCTCGCCTAACTCTCTACTCGAAGTTTTGATCGTAACTTTTGCTCTGTTACTCCAAATGAGGCATATAATATATCAAATCGAAACTCTCGGCGAGCTCTACAAGATTCATAGCTAAAAGCTATGATTGATGCTATTAAAAGTCCAAAAAATTTCTATAAACAGATGTTTTGGCCTCCTAAAGTTTTTTCAGTTGTATCAGTCAGCCAAATATTCAAACTCAAACTGAATGCCCTTTTTTCTAAGTTCCGTTAGACGCAGGGCATTGGGGGAAAATGATGGGCCAAGCCCAAGGGCCTAACTCAAATTATAAGCCCAGTCCGAGTTTATAGCCTATCTCTAAGAGATCCAGTAAGTCCAGCTCAATGCGGTCAACTCGGACAAGCTCATCAAGAATCAAGGAGCAACATCAGCAGGGAGTATGCAAGGTCATCAAAGAGTCTCCTCTACCACCTTAGAGTAAGGGTCATCCAAAAGCCTCCTTTACCACCTTGGAGTAAGGGTTGTCCAAGAGGCTCCTCCTCGCCATTTTGGAGTAAGGGGAGCATCCAGGAGCCTCACCCTTGCAGCCTGGAGAGAATAAAGCTCCCTCATCCCTGACCAAGTCCTTTGGAGAGCACTATAACTTCCTTGCCGGTTGAGGAGAGGAGAGGTCGCCAAAATATTTAATTACTATTAAACGGCCCCAACCCGTTATGACCACCAGACTAGCTATTCAATTACTTCATCAAGCCACTATAAATTGTACATCCCACCAACACTTGGGGGGCATCAGACTCATTTTAGCATAATTTTCTCCTCCCCTCTCAAAACTTGTAATCTTGTGCTCTCCCTCCACATCGGAGATAATAAAATTTCAACGACCCTTGTCATTCAAAGTGGACGTATGTCATATTAACCAAACCACTATAAACCTTGTCTTCTCTCTCCCCCTACTTTACTGCATTTTATATTACTTAATTGATAGGTGGTGTGTAAACCAATTTTGTGCATCATCAATTTTTACACATATTTCCAAATTATTATATTTATATCTATTTTTACCTATATTTAACAGCTATTCCTCATATTGTGTCCACATAAATTTTCTGACCTTCTGTTCTCTCTCATTATTGACTTCAATATCCATTTATCCAAATTCTTTCAGTTTGTGTTATGCTCATGTACGCAACTAATATTCAATATGCAATGAATAATACATCATCAACTAAAAAATGGAACCTTTTTTTTTCGATTAGTTAACAAATGGAACTAATTGCTTCTAATTTGATGTTCTCGCTTTTCTCTTCATTTTAAAATCTTGTGGTTTGCACTTATCGGGCTTAAAGAAAGATATTGGAGAACTAGTCAGCATCTTCCCCACAATCCCTAATGCGGTCCAAGACTCCAAATCAATACTCTCTCACTTGATCGCCTCTCATTCTGGACAAGTACATCATAGATGATAAGCCAGAGAGACTTAGGTCTGCTGTAGATATAAGTAGATATGAGAGTGAGAAAATTTTAATATTAATCAAACTCTTAAAATTTAAGAGTTGTTAGTTTTTAAATTTACTGTAATTTAATATAACTAATGAGGATATTTTGGACAATGGAGATCAAAATGAACTTAATATTAAACAAGTTTCTTTGATAAATTTATCACCAAATAAATCCATAAAAGATAATCGGCCTTCAAATTTCCATACTAATTTCACTTGTAAGGTCTTTAAAATGGGTCTGCAAGTTGGGTTGATCTGCGTTTGTAAGTTTTTTCAAACTGGGCTTTAGTGTTTGTCAAATTTTTAAGTTCGCATCTGGGCTTTGTAGAATTGCCCAAAGATTTGGTCCTCGGTCGGAGTCCACATGCGGGCTTGTGCTGGGTGATTAATAGCATTTTGCCCCCTCAAAATTTTTAAAATATTACTTTGTCCCTGAAAATTTTAAGTCTTACATTACACACTCAATGCATCTCAATTTTTAGATATTTTTCAATCCTTCTTACTTGACCATATGGATGATTAATCAATTGTATGCCAATAATGCTCAATCTAATTTATTCTTAACCAAATACTTATAGATCTCACAGCAATATTCATATATGAAATAATTTAAATTATCAATGTTCCAACACAGACTCAAGTTCAGATCTCTAACCTCAAGGACCAAACTATTATCCCCTAGGACAACTTGCTATTTTAGGATTAACTCAAGCTAGAACAAATAAGAAAAAATAAAATCTAACCAGCTAATTGTTCTAGGAAGGTAAGATGGTTGTCATCGACAAGCTAAGGAGAGAGTAAGAGTTACTACTTATTCCCCAAAAGGGTGAATTTTTAAGATGCCCTCTGGCAATTGCTTGTAGTATAAGTCAATACTATAGCACCATTAGATACGAGGAGTCTTGGTGTCTCTCATTTTACCATTAATGGTGATCGGCTAGTTTAATTGGAGTGAGAACATAGTAAAAAACAATGCTCTAACAAGCTCCCCAAGCATTGGGGTCACAACTGATTCTTATTCTCACAAAGCATAGAAAGAACTTTGAGGTAGAAAACTAGTTAATTTGAAGATGTTTACGACCCTGTTTATGAGGCTTCCACTAAGGTAAGAGCGGCATAACTCAGGTTTACGACTTTCCCATTATATGGGACTTAATGGGTTTTTAAACCGGACATAATCAAGTTTTATTGTGTTGTATTATTTAAATTAATATATTGAAACAACTTTTTTTTTTTTTTGGAGATATTTAACTTTCCTTCATTAATCATGTCGGGCTAGCGAACTGCCCAATTTGCCAAGTGCAACATAGAAGCGGGCACACGGTCGAATATGCATGATCTTTGTCAAGTTTATGCTCGTGAATCACTCCATTCACATGTTAAACTAATGTATCTAAAAGTGTGTGTGTGTGTGTGTGAGAGAGAGAGAGAGAGAGAGATGAACTCAATTCTCATAAACTAGAAGATACAAAGGAAGGAGAGGAAAACGTATCCAAATACAAACCATGACTAAAAAACGAACACGTAGGTAATAAATATCCTAAATATAGATGTTGAGTACTATTTTCTGTCAGCGCAAGCCTGAATTTAGACCAAGACACATTAGGAATAAGCATGGAGCCACTTATTTAGTACTAGTTTTGAGTCTTGATCGAGCGTGAGGGGCCATATTTACCTCTGAGCCTGCAAAATATGGCCAAAGAGTTAGCACTAATTTGCCTTCTTCAAGCGAAGAAAGCCTGGGCATTAGGATAATAGGGATTTACCAAAAACATACGCTTGTAGGTTTCAACAAGCAGTTTGGGATCACATTTTGTCTGCGTGTAAGCACCAATCTTGATCATCTCCTGCATAGGAATCTACGTGAAAATGTTGCTATTCAAGATCCAAGAACTTCGTTATTATAGGATTTCCAACGAATAGGAGGCATATTGATACATTTTAGTGGTCATGAATTTCTTCATAACAAGGTAGGAAATATGACCACTAAACTCTATATGGCAAAGGCATAATGATTGGAATTTATCAGAAATCCCTTAATATAAACCTGGTTCTTGCAAAGCTTCTGTTAATTGGATTATTGAATGTGTTACTACTGCTCCTATGACTACAAAACCTTTCAGGGAGGTCAAGAAGAAGTAAACGTAGCAACCAAAAGCCTTTATTTCACCATTCCTACAACCAGGCTACCAGCCATCCATCCCTATGGTTAGATCCTCCCCAAGGTTTTGCACATTCCTAAACATGAATACCTGAACCAAAGGGTTTGTGGCCTATAATATGCTGCAAAGTAAAGCTTTTCTAGTAATTAACCCAACAAAGTGGAAGCTTGTTTTTCACCATGTCCGTTACCAGACTCCCAAACAAAAAGAATATTATGATCTATATTATGCTCTACTCCAAACCTTTTCTCATGATTTAGGTTTGAAAATTGGGTTAACAATGAATCTAGCTCGTTACATACCTCCATGAATGCCGCAATTTTAGGCCTGCCTGACCTGATATCATAGCTCCAAACATCTTGGAAGAAGATTTGATGCCTTTCAAGGAAAGGAGCATAGACAATGTCCACCTGAAAATCACATGTATCATTGAGAACTGGAAGAGAATTCCAAAAATAAATTCATAAGCACACACAAATTTGCATTGCTTGTTTGTCAAAACAAGCTTCCAAAAATATTTGCTGCTCTCATTAGGCAATGAATGCCAGTTTGCTTATGAAATGTGTGACCATTCAGAGCACCATTGAGGAAGATTGACGACTTACCAGACTGAATTTTTGGCCGAGGAAGAAAGGCCCATCATCAAATTTATGAAGAGCTGTTTCCAAGTAATCAAAAGCAGCACCTGATGCAGGTAACAGAAACTGATTAATTTCATATACAAGCATTACCATTTATTGCATGATGAATCTCACATGCAAGGTCTTAATCTCACCAGCTTCTTTCACTGCGTCTCCTTTAAATGAAGTAAACACTCCTTTGACAAATGTATCAGAGTAGGATATCAGCTCTTCAGCAAACTCTTTTTTGGCGGGGTCCTGCATTATTATATTGTCAACACTTCTCTCTGAAATTTTTTTTGGTGTGTCTGTGTTGTTTTTTTTTTTTTTTTTTTGGGGGGGGGGGGGGGGTTGTCAAACAAATTTCGCATCTTACATCTGGTAATAGCGCATGTCCTTCAAAGTGACTGTCTACATATTTGATCAAATCTAAACTTTCTCCAATGATTTTGTTCTCATGTTCCAGAGCTGGAACATGTAGAAAAGGAAAGTAAGGAATGAACACGAAGGGAAGATCATTTATCTTAATAAGGTTTTATGTTCCTTATGCAAAAATTACTCCAATGCTTGGATGAACATGCGAAAAGGATTTACAAGCAGTTACTGCCAAAATATATTCATCAATAATAGCCAAGATGGTGATTCAGAGAGGAAATTTTTGCTACAATTTAAGAAAAAGAATTCAAGGGATGATAAAGCTAATTATCGGGAGGACGAAGACTCATAATCAAGCTTCTCGGGTTAATTGATTCAACAGTGTCAGCACATGGGTCCCCAATCATCACGACGTATGAATAAGTTTCAAATTGCAAAAGAAAAATTGCCCTCCAGTCAATTAATTTCTAAATATACCTACCATTAAAATTAATATCACCATCCGAGCACCTTACACACCAATGAATATATTTAGTAACACGAAGTCCACATCCTCTCAACCACTTTATTTTTTATCATACTAAATTGAAGCATAAGCTCAGAAGCTTAATTCCAAAGTCAATACTACATAAAAAATGCAAAGGGCAGGGTATGTGAAATTAGGTGACAATTGCCTTTCAATGACAACAATATAGGTGACTGAGCATATAACATCACTGAGATAGAATTCAACACAGCGAGGATTCACAAAATTATAAAGAGGTTTGTTGCGGATGAACGTAATAACAGAGGCAAGGATATAATCAGCAAAAATTGAGAACAACTTCCCTTAAAAGAGTTAAAATAGGAAGCACACATTCGTTGAGACTGCAACTTCAACCCAAGTGGTCAAACATTTAGCTAACCATAAAGACTACTTCACTCATATCAATGGTTTTCAGAACAAAATATGAGAAGTGACAATCAAACGAGTCCATCCAAATACTTAAATATATAGGAACAAAATAATACCTTGTTAACATGGTAAACTTTCTCTTTGTACCAAGCGGGTCTGTTTTTGAAGGTCAATAGGAACCAATTTGATCTTATCCTGTAATCCCTGCATTCCACTATTCAAACAATACTAAGCCAATTTCCTTCAATCAAAACAAATAATGAAGTTTCTTCACTAAATTCCAAAGAAATCAGCACTGGATTGAATATTCCACCCACATCTTATATAGCATCTCCTAATAATGTATCGTATTGTAGATTTCATACACTGCCTAAAGAAAACTACAACCCCAAAACACCCAAAATACACACACCCACACGCAGAGAGGATATGAACAAAAAAGTTGCGATTGCGAAGAGAAGTAAAATCAAACCTTATAGTTCCTCACAACCCACGCACGCTACGCAAATGGGCACTGGTAATTGACGTATAGCCTTCAAAAAATAGAGCCAATTTTTTCATATTGTGCGAAGATTACACACACAATGCCCAAAATAGAACACAACATACGATACATATCAATGGAAGCCAAACAGAAATAAATTACAGAGTGAGAGATACCTGGTGGTACCGTCAAAGAGAGGTGGTGGTTCAGAAAAAGAATCCAAAATTGGAGGAAGAACCTCTTGAACACATCTGCAATCAGGTAAGCATAGCCAACAACATTAACACACGTACATACAGAATCTCTACTCTACACAGACATAAATATGTAGAGAGAGAGAGAGAGGGGGGGAGAGAAAGAGGAGAGAGAGAGTGGGGGGAACGTACGGTACAGCCCTTAATGTTATTCTGGTAATACAAGGCTGAACCTTTCGATCGGTGAACGTTGAGTTTGAAAATGAAGATGGTGATCAAAAAGGCTTTATAATCGAGTAGCGTGACCATATGACGTGGCAGTGGATGCGAAAGGCGGCTGATCAATTATTGCACAGCATTAACTGATTTCTTTCTTTCGTTTGCACAGTGCGGATATTCTAGTGATGCTTTGTTTGGTATCATAAAAAATTGAATTGATAAAAAATTAAGAAGATAAATAAAATATTATGTTTGATAAGGAAGGAAAGTAAGAAAGATGAAAAAATTGATGGATTAACTTTTTTTTAATTTATTAAAATTAATCTTTTCAAAATTGAAAGAAAAATAGATGAAAAGTTAATTATTTGTATTGAGATGTATTTTATTTGTCTATATATCTTTTTATATATACATATATTATGTATACATTAAAAATTAAAAAAAATAAAAATAAAAATTTTAAATTAAAAAAATATTTTTTTTCATCTTAATTAAGGGTGAAAATTTTTGACTCAACACGATGACACGACTTGAACTTGATGCGAAAATAAATATGTCAACTCGCAACTCGACACAACATAATTAGTTAAATGAGTTAAGTTAGGTTTGACTAATATTTGACACAAACCTATAATGACTCAACACGAATCTGACACGACACGACACGATTCACCCCTAATTTTAGTCGGAACAAAAAAAAATAATTATTTTTATTTTTCATCTATTCAACTAAATACAAAATAAGTAAAATGTATCTTTTCTACTTTTTATTCTCTCTACCAAACGAAGAATAAAAAAAGTATTAATTAGCTGACCTTCACGTTAACTGCCATGTCATTTAATTATTTTTTTTATTTTTAATTGCTGTCAATATAGCGTTTTTGCTAATTTGATCTCGTGGATAAGAGCACAAAAAAAATCTTTTGTGGGACGAGCAGGGACGTTCCGACAGGGATGTATGAGAAATGTTAGGATACAGACCGCCTATAATAGCTAGACGGCATGATTTCGTCACCAGTGACGAATAAATGAACAGAAAAAGTATTATTTATTACAACGGTGGCGTTACCTTCTTGTCCTAACGTAATATCCTATGCAACGTAAAAAAATTGATTCCACATAGTATTTTAATAATATTTGTTTGATATCAAAAATTAATTTTTCATTATATAATTTTATTTTGAGAGAATTATCACATGCCTCTTAAAGTTTATCACCTAATTATTTAAATTTTTTAACATTTAAAATATTATACACAAATAATTTAAAATTTGTATGTGCGTGATATTTAGACTCTTATCGTCAATGTCCGTTAGAATATCCGTTAACAAATTATATTCAAATTTTTTGAAATTTGTATGTATGTAATATTTAGACCTCTCAAATTTAAAATGTTATACTTAGACAAAAAATAATCTAATCAAAGATATAATATAAAATATTTTAAATTTTACAACCATAATTAATGCTATGTTATGTCATTATTGATGTAAAATTAAAAATAAATTTATATCAATAAAATAAACATCTATTTTTTTTAAAAAAAACCATAATTAGTATATACTTATGATATTTATTGGAATAAAACTAAAAAAATAAATAAATAGTGAAACTATAATGGACACAATATCTTATATCTTTAATTGCGGGTAGTTTGGTTATTTAATAAATAGTATAATTATATATTAATTATGATTTTTTAAATAAAAAATTAAAATTTTTAATTTTATTTTAAGATATAGCATAATAGAATATAAATTTTGGTTATAAAATTTAAAATATTTGATATTTAATCTTTAATTAAATTATTTTTTGTTTAAGTATAACATTTTAAACTTAAGAAATTTAATATTAAACGTCTATAAATTTCAAAAAATTTGAGTATAATTTATTAACAGATATTTTAAATATCAAATATCACGTAATCTAAGAAATTAAGTAACAAATCTGTGGAAGTTTAGGTATAATTTTCTTTTTTATATCTTATCTAATAAATTTTTGATGTATGTAATTTTTTTTATTAGATCTTTTATCCTACCGACATGGCCGAGCCTTGTTTCGTTTGACACGTTTTAGCGTGGGTGTTTGAATGAATTGAGACTGATTTCTTTCTGGATACATACTTTTCTATAGGAAACCGGCAAATGAGGATAGAAGCTTCCATTTTTACGCCATATGTATAAAAGGTTCGACTATGGGATCGATCACCCACTTTCTGGTATAGTATCTGAAAAAAAAGTCAACGATAAATGCATAATGAACAACTTCGATTGTGAATTTTTAATAGACAAATGTCAATTATTGAAATTTTTTATTTTTTTTTTACCATACCGAAAAAATAAAAGAGAGTACTAAAGCCAACTACATGTATAATGCCTTTTTCACCAATCCAACAACCACCCCCCCCCCCCCCCCCCCGCGGGGCCGGGGGAGTGGCTGGTCAAAGATAAAGGTTTTTTCCCCTTGTTTCTTTTTTTTTGTTTTTAAGTCTAAAAAATATATAAAAAATTGAAATGGGTGCTTACAATCTTTTAAAAAAAATGCTGCCAATACCTAAAATTTTATCAAATATTAGATACACAACCATTGGATGATTAGTAAAAATTAGTGGGACTCATTTATCTAACTACTCGCATTGATTTGATAAATTTTTTTATAAGTATCACATTTTAGTCAAGGGTCCGATACTTTACAGGATAAAAATGTTCCTTAGAACCATCTCCCTTAGATTTAATCCTAGCGCGTGGAGATGAGACTACTTAGGCTTAAGTTGGCTACCGGGCATGGGACCAAATGAACTCAATTGGTGAGAGAGTAACTGAGAGAGATATGGAGAGTAACGGAGAGAGAGATGAAGAGAATAAAAATTATGCATAATTTAAAAAAAGATAAGTAAGTAAAATACTTATCCATACACTTCTTCTCAAATAAGTTTAAAAAAATTTACCCACACTCAAAAAATCCTATATAAAACATTGTTATTCAATGTTTATTGTGAAAATATGTTTTATTATATTAATAACAACCATTGTTACAAGAAAAATGTGTGTAAGTGTGACATTAATTTCTAATGTAACTGGAAAATATGTTCTATTGTGACAGTAATAACTCTTGTTGTTATGCCAATGTGGATGTGTTGATGTGTCAATTTGGTTGTGTCATTGTGAGTGTCATTATGTCAATATGGTTATTTCATTGTGGTTGTTATTGTTACTGTGTTGTTACTATTATTGTGGTTGTGTGTGTACTTATGCTTATATATATATATATAGGTGAGAGAGATAACAGATGGAGGAGAAAGGAGAGAAAAGAGAAAAAAAAAACAGATGGAAGAGAAAGGAGTGAAGAGAGAAAAAAGAGATATAATTAACAAATTGTGCGTGTAGATTGTCATATTTTGTTGTAGGGTAGAATATGAAATAAAAAAAAAACAGATTATTAGATCTACTTGCCAAAAAATTCATATCTTATGTCTATAATAACCCAATAAGTTCTCTCATGTCTTTATTAGCAAAATAGATTGTTATATTTTATTTGATTCGATTTTGTGAAAATTAGGGTTGAGTTCTGCTTAAGGGAAACTTATTTGGGGTAAATCCGCTTTTAATCTTACGAAGAAGTAGTTAGGTCCACTATTTTTTTAAAATTTCAAAATTCCTTTCTAATGACTTAAAAAATAATTTTCAACATTAAATCAATTTCCTAAATAGTTATCCTTGATTCACATTTAAAAGAAGTTTTTTTTTCCATAAAATCTTAAATTCAAATTTAAAATTGATATCACGACCATTTCTCACTATCTTTTTCTCATTTATTTTTCTTGTTGAAAAAACTATAGTTAATATAATATTGAATGTTACTATGCATGTGTATTATTTTTTTGTTGAACATTTTACTGTTTTTTTGATGAATATGTTACTATTAATATTGAATGTTACTATTTTTCTAAAATATTAATATTAAATGTTTTTTTTTTTTGATAATGTTACTACTATTATTTTTTTCAAATTCTAATATACAATGTTACTATTTTTTTGTGTTTAATTGATATTATTTTTTATGTTTGAATGTTATTGTTAAACGACAAAAAACATTGCAAAGACCAATGATGGGTTCATTCTTGACAAGTGATTTTTTTTTTTTTTTTGAATTATTGATCGTTAACTTGACCCTGCAAGTTTAAACGTCAAATTTTACATTTTTTTTTGACCCATTAAAATTCATCCTTATGAAATTTGAAAACTCTATGTTGTAAAAAAAAAAAATGTGGAAAACCTAAAGTTAAGGCCGGTTTTTTTTTAACTCCCCACCACACCCATTGCCTACAAAGAAGAGAAGGTGGACCTGGTGGGTTCCTAAAGGGTTGCCAATTGCCCCCCTCTTTACATGCAAAAATCCCTTATAAATATACTAGGGGAAGAGATCGGAGGAGGGGAGACGGTTTTAAAAAAAAAAGGAAAGGAAGAAAATACTTCTGCAGAGAGGGGAAAAGGAAGAAAGGCAGAAGAAAAAAAAAATCTAAAGCAAAAGGAAAAAATCTGAATCCTTGCAATAGGTAAAAAAATTCTGTTAACCCTCTTTCTTGTTAATTTAATCTCTTGGATCTTTGATGGCAGCAATTCAAGCATTTTCGGCTATATCGATCCTCCCGAAATCACAAATTATAGGAGTTTTAAACTCCTAGAGTTTGGGGCCGCTACAAGAGTTTCAAACTCTTTTGAGAATTGGCAAGAGCTTTGCCATCTTCAACTCGTTCGGCAAATGGATGGGTAAAAAAATTAAAAAGCTAGAAAGAAGAGAAGCAAACTTTACAAGGCAATGGGCAGTGGGTTCAAGGAAAAGAAATTAAAGCAAAGAATTTGATTTGGCGGTTTTCACTCCTGCAAGAGTCGGCGGCAAAGCAAAACACACCGAAGGAACTTCTAACTCAAACAAAAGTTGCTGTAGTGAAGTTTCAAGAATCTTTGGACTCTTTCCAATGTTGCTCGTGGGAACGTCCAAAGAAATCTTTCTCCCATCAAGAACTTTGTGAATTAAAGGAGTTTCTAACTCCACTTTGCTCGAAGCCGCGGGAACAGAGCCTTCGGCTCTGCAAAATCCCGCATCATACACATTAAAAAAAAAGGTGTTGAAACTGATGTTTAAAATCAGTCCATGATGCTGGCCAATGTCGACAATACTTGGGTTCTTTGCCAAAAGACTTGGGTTCATCCCCATTTGATTTATTACTAACCTCGTCTATTGCAGCAGATTTGTGGCAGACCAAGAAAGATAAATAAATGGCTTTGACTTTTTTATTTTGACGCCTTTCGCTTATGGCAATGGAATTTCAAACTCCTTAATTTACTGGCTCTCAAGAGTCTAAAACTCTTTACTCAAGACTTGGTTTTTCTAAAATCATATCAAAGAGTTTCTAACTCTTCAAAAACTTTTGATTTTAATGACATGTTTCTTTCGTTGTTAAAAAGAATCTCTAACTCCTCCAAACCTGTTGGAATTTTTAATTCATCTCTTCAAATTTTAAGCATATATTATGAGCTTGATAAAAAATGGCAGCGACAACTGGTATTCAAAAAAGCCTATAAAAAAATACTTCTTTTGGTCTTTCAAAGACCACTAAAAAGGGGTGAAATGATTCTAAAAGTTGCACATTGTTTTCAAATGTAGCTTACAAATAAATTTCTGGGGGCTTTCAACTCCTCTCGACAAAGCATTGTGATGCACTTTAAAAAGGGGAGCTTGAGATATTACTAAAAATGGAAATGAGTTCCTATTTGGTTAAAGAAAGTTACCGTGTTCTACTCAAACAGACAAAGGTTTGTCAAAAAGATCT